GGGGATTCGAACCCGCCACCTTAGGTGTACGTGGCTGGCGCCTTAGCCGGTTGAGCTATAGGCGCCGAGCCTCAAGAATCTTTTAATTAGAAGTATACACTGAGGCTGGGCGTGGTAGCTCATACCTGTAATCCTAACACTCTGGGAGGCTGAGAGTGGATTGCTAGAGCTCAGGAGTTCGAGACCAGCCTGAGCATGAGTGAGATCCCATCTCTACTAAAAGAATAAAAAAATTAGCTGGGCATCAGGGCAGGTGCCTATAGTCCCTTACATCAGCTACTCAGAAGGCTGAGGCAAGAACTCTTGAACCCAGAAATTTGAGGTTGCTATGAGCTATGACACCACATCACTCTACCAGGGTAACAGAGTGAGATTCTGTCTCAAATAAATAAATAAACATATAAACCATCAAAGATCAGCACTTGGATTCAGAACACAGTCCTGGACTTTGGATCTGGGCTGTCTCCTGGTTAGATACATGACCACAGACTTCTTTAGCCCATGTGTCGCTCAGATGAGGTATGTAAAGCACTAGCAGGTGCCCACCTTGATTACCTTTCCCTAGAGTCAGGTGATGTACCCAGAACCATCAATCGTGGTGATGAGGAGGTGGCAGCCGACAGATCTAACAGCCATCGAGGTTCTAACCTGAGAAGCACCTTGAGAGGTCTGCAGGGGCAAGGGACAGTCCGGTGCTCTCCATCACCAACTGGAATCACACCTGAAAAAAACTTGATGCAAGACCAGGGTCTCCAGGGAAACCTCAATCCCATACCAAGTACCTCTTCAATCATCTTTGACTACAGCTTTCAAATTGGTGGAGTTGAGGGTTGGCTAAAACAAGATGGTAAAAGGTTTGGGAGTATGTGAAACCTCAGCTGCTCTCTACACAAGGGGAGGACCTGGAGACACTGAGAAGTATGGCAGACTCCAAGGTGGCCACCATGATCCGCACCTGTGTGTGATGCCCTCTGTTGAGTGTGGGCTGGGCCTGTGACGTTAGAATACTGCAAAGGAGATAAGATGTCCCTGCCATGCTGAGGAATTCTTTCTTCCTGGCTTTGAAGAAACAAGCTGCCATGTTCTGTGAGCTCCCCTAGGGTCAGGTGGTGAGGAACTGAGGGTGGCCGCCAGCTGAGTCTGCTCAGTCTGCCAGTCTGCAAGAAAAGGAAGGCTGCCAACAGCCACCAGAACTTGGAAGCTGATCTTCCTAGTTATGCCTTCACCTGAAACCCCAGGCGTGGCTGATACTTTGCAGCTTGCAGAGGACCTGGCTAAGCTGTGCCGGACTCCTGACTCAGAAACAGATAATAAATGTCTTGTTTTAAGTTGCTATGATTAGCAGTACTGGTAAGCAGCAATAGAAAACCAATATAAGTGAGCAAAGGGTATTTAAGGTCCAAGTCTGTGGAAAAGAGAGACTCTGGACAGATTCACTGGCTGGGTGGCCTTGGGAGATACACTAACAAGCTCCTTTGGGGCCGGGGGTGATGGCTCTCGCCCGTAATCCTAGCAATCTGGGGGCGCCCAGGCAGGTGGATTGCTAGAGCTCCTGCGTTTGAGACCAGCTTGAGCAAACTCGAGACTCCATCTCTACTAAAAAATGGAAAAACGGACGCAAGAGGATCACTTTAGTCCGAGTTGATGGATGATGTGCTATGATGTCACAGCACTCTACCCAGGGCAACAGCTTGAGACTCTGTCTCAAAAACAAACATGCTGGCTCGGCGCCTATGGCTCAACCGGCTGGGGCGCCAGCCACGTGCACCTAAGGTGGCGGGTTCGAATCCCCAGCCCGGACCCGCCAAACAACAATGATGGCTGCAACCAAAAAATAGCCGGGCGCTGTGGCGGGCACCTGTGGTCCCAGCTACTTGGGAGGCGGAGGCAGGAGACTCGCTTGAGCCCAGGAGTTGGAGGT